GACGCAAAAGATGGTGGATAGGTGATATCAGAGCGAGGCCACGGGGATGACTAACAAGTAACAAGCTAGTGGAACGTCAATTTAGAAGGGAATATGTTATAGGTGTGGTCTTTGGTCTCCATTGGAACATTGGATTTGTTTGGTTTTTCTGTTGGAAAATGCCAGGAAAGGCCTGAGACAAGGACGTCGAGTGTGAGTGATTGATACGGATACATGGCCTGCCCCCTCATACAACGCATATACTCCCTTAGACCACATGTTTTTTAAGATATTTTTTAATTTTAATATAAAGTATTCATTTCGTTTAAAAATATAAAATATTTTTAACCGAATCTTATCATTCAATAAAGCAGTTACCTACTTTCAAACTAATCCTATTTTTTCATATTTACTCTTACTAAATATCCTATAATAAATATAAAGTTACTATCAATAGGGGCACTTTTGAAAAAAAGACAATGATTACACATTAAAAGATTAAAAATGCCTTACATTTTTTAACATCCAGCTCCTTAAAAAATACTTTACATTTTTAACGGAGAGAGCATTTGATAAAATATTAATTACATCTTTTTAATATTATTTTATTTAAATTTATTAATTATGATGCAAAATATAATGTAAATTTAAATTTTTTATTTAGATAGGGAAAATTAATAATTTAATAACATTTTTTTATTCTGGTGAAATAATTAAAGATGACTTATAATAAAAATAAAAGAAATATAAATTATATGAATATGTATGCGTATTTAATTTTTTGGAAAAAAAATATCATTTGAGGACTGCTAAAACAATTTAATCTCAAATAAGGACCAAAATATTCAGGACTGAGGGACTAATTAAAAAATAATTTTAGGTGAGAAAGAACCATAATACCACTACTTTTTTTAAAAAAACTTGTCAATTAACAATTTTTTTAATTAAATGTAAATAGGTACTTGTTATTAATGAATGACTATTTGTTAAAATATAATTTATACATATACCTTCTCACAACTAAGCTCTTTTAAATTCTTGAATTTGTCAGTTAACGAGTGACTTCTTATTAAATATTAATGAGTATTTATTAATTAACGAATAACTGTTTGTTGAAATACAATTTATATGTGTCCCTTCCTATAACTAATTTTTTTTATATCATTGAACCTGTCAATTAGTGAATAATTTTTTATTAAATGTGAATGACTACATGTTTATTAATGAATAGTTACTTATTGAGATACAATGCACATTTATCCCTTCCCATAATCAAGTTCTTTCATATTTTTAAACTTATCAATTAATAAGTGAATTCTGGTTAATTGCAAGGGATTACTCATTAATCAATAAATGACTAATTTTCAATTAAAAAAGAAAAGTAGAAGTATTGCAGTATTTTTTTTATAAAATTATTTTTAAATTCAATGATATTTAAAAAAATTAGTCATTATTTGATATTAAATACTTTCAGCTATTCTTGAATGATTTTTTTTAAAATTTTTTTATAAAAAAATATTAAAAGCACTGGATCTACCAATCAATGCCAAGGCAAACCTTGGGGCCTTCGGATGGGCTTGACACTTCGACCAAGTTTTCAAACATGTCACTCGCAATGATTTCCCATAATTAATGTGGTGTTTGGCTGCCGGGGTTACTTACTTTGGCTCACACTGACCACCCATTATATAATGTACGAATCATAGTCATGGTATTAAACTTTAAACTACTAATTATATAACGTGTGAATGTAAGCCAACTACTGCCCGCTGATTGTGACAGGAAACGAAACAAGTGCACGTTCATTCTACATACGTGGGCGCGCGCATTTATATATTAGGGTAATGCATCACTTCAGTTTAGATATATTTTTGCATCCAGTTGAAACTAAAGCCCCTATAAAAGTATCTCGACAATTCAGACCTAATCAATAAACATTAAGAAAAAATTTTATATACTTGATTTTCTATATTTAAAATGTTTGTTTTTAATTAAATCAAAACATGTGTATTTATAATAGATTATTTATTTTATAATAAATTTATATTATTAATATCATTAACATATTGAAATACACATATTTTGATTTGATTGAATGAAAGTATATTAATATACAAGGGTAAGTATATAAATTTTGTCCAAACATTAATGTGTCCAGAAAACTAATAACCCCTTAACTTATAATGTAATGTACCTATAACGTGCTTAATTATTTTATTAGTATAGGACTATATCATTAGTTTGTTTGAGTCAATGCATGCTTTTAGATTTAAAAGATACCTATAAAGATACTTAAATATCTTTAGTGAACAAGGCATTCACATTAATTATAAAATTTAATTCTATAATTTTACAGATTATAAGTTAAATCTTTATAAGTTTAACCAACTTTTGTTGGTACTACACTATTGTATTAACGTTGAAAAGCTATGCTTCTTTTTTTTTCGGGTCACATGATTAATTGCAAATTGGTGGTGGGAATATATTGGGATTTATTGACCTTGAAAACATTGACTAATACAAACCTGGATTTGAAATTTGGGAGGAACTGTCTCCATCTTTCACGGCCGGGTTCTTACAATGTAAGAGTGCGTGTGAACGCAGAGAAAAACGACAAGGCATGGCCACTTTATTTTAAATGGGAAGAAAAGTAGCCCTTTCGCATTTATCCATACTGCCTTTTCAAACTTGTTGGGCATTTTAGAAACCGACGGCATTTACATCGTTGAAATTGAAAACGATGTCTTCGTTTACTCATATTTTATTTAGGAGAAATTGGTGAGGATCACCAAATTGTGGAAGTATCTGAAAAAAAGGACCAAATGTGGAAGATAGTTTGCAGGTGACTGAAGATTTTAACATTTGCACTTATCTTCAATAAATCTTTAATAATTTACATTGATGATTGTTAAAGCCTGAGGGTTTATCTTTCACGTTGTTTCTTCACAAATATTTTCACTACTCTGCCTTTCTCCCCGGGTTTTCCTTTTATTTATTATCAAAACATACATTTGCTTTTTAATTAACATAGAACGTTCAGTTTATAATATCTATTGCATATGTCTTGCTTGATACGTATAAAGAAGATTGATATTTACAAATTACAAGTTTTGTTTTTGTTCATGCAATATAAATATTAATTTTTGCATATTTTAATTTTGTTATGTACTTAATATTTTGTTCACCCAATGATTGCAGTGAAGGTGTTATACTAATTTAAGCCTACCAACCAAAAAAAAAAAAAAAACAACATCTACAGCTTTAACTTGACTACCAGAGCCTGCCAAAGCAAATAATAGGAAATGTCATTGAACTTGGACGGTGAGCCCCATTAATTATTATTTAAGGGAAATTCAAAGCATGAGACTAAAATTTACCGGTTTTTACGTTACGATCCTTTTTATCGGCACGTGCATTTACCGGTTTGGGTTCAGGCATCAGTCACCAATAACAGCCTCCCAGGTCGCTATTTTTAACAGTTTTTTTTTTTTTTAAAGTCATCGTTGAATGTTAAGTACAGCAAACCAAGCTTTATTTTTTCCCGTTGGATATGACATGAAACTGAAATTTAATTCCCCCCAGCCACCATGATATTAAAAGTCCGAGCAGTTTGTTGGAAAGTGCGGAGATAGAGAACAATGCGTTCGGTTTCGGTACTCAGCGGCCGCTGAGTACCGTGGTGCTCATCAGGCCGAAACGCACCGTTTTATTAACCATGGAGAATCTCTGCGTTGAATTAACATCGAACGCGTTCAGTCTCTCCTTTCATTCGGCAATATAAAATTGAAAGTTGGAGGGAGAGAGCATGTGTTTTGGCGCCATTCTACTCACTCTCTTTCAAGCTTCAAGTTCGACCATTCAATTCCAACAACATCATTCAGTCAGAAGGGGTTCTTGTAAGCTAAAGAACTCCATTAACTCATTTTAATTTCTTCTTCTTCATGTTTGTTTTTTGGTTGCTGTCTTATTAAAACTGAAAGCAAATATGAATGATGAAGACAATAAGCAATAGACCCACATTCAGCTTGTAGAAACAGACTTCAAAGGATGACCGAATGCTGTCTAATTTCTGAAACATACATATATATATATATACATATATGTGTATGTGTAAGTCGACAAGGGCTACGTTAAATGGAATACTGAATTTGCAACAAATTAAAAATTGTGGGCTAGGGAATGAATTTTGTCTGCTGCGATGCCTATGAATGTTGTATCTGAAACAGCTTAATTTGCGTCGAAAATATGAGTTATCTTCATTAAGCTTGCTTTACACATAATCTTGTCCTTTTCCAATTTGATACAGTTCTTTCCAATGCATGGGAAACAATATAACGAGGGAGAATTTGGCCATTAATTAAGCATATTAAACAAGAATAAGTTTGACAGTAAACCAAGCTTAACATCTTCCATTTCCTTGATTTGGCTGTCAATTGTCATTTAATGTTTCTCATTGTTTAGTAAAATGAACCTATGACTTGTTATAAAAAATTTGGCTTGATCAGCCTTTTTTTTTTCTGGTATTAGGTGAATGAAATTCTACCTTGTATATATATATATATATATATATATTTATTGAAAAGAATATGAAGAAAGAAGTTTGTGTATATGTATATGGATGAAATATATATATATATATATATATGGTGTGCATGGCTATTTGAAGAACTAATATATAATGTTTGAAGAGTGTAAATTATCTTTACCATAACCTTGTATGTTTTGGAAAATTTTATTTTTGATAAAAATGTATAATATAATTTTTTTTCTTCACAGGAACCATACAAGAGGAAGATGAATTGGAACCCAAAATAGGGAGGGAGTTTGAAAATTTAGATGAGGCATGGGAGTTTTGGACAGAATATGGTAAAAGAATTGGATTTGGAGTTAGAAAGGGTACTTCTACAAAGAGTAGAGCAGACAAATCCATTATTATTACATATAGATTTTTATGTTGCAAGGAAGGTCTGCGAAGGAAAAATGAAAAAAGGGCATATGCTTCTACACATCGACCAGAGACAATGACTAATTGTAAGGCAAGAATGGTAGTATCTCGTGTTGGCCAAAAGTTCAGAATCACTGTGATTGATAGAGAACATAATCACCCACTTCACACAAAAGACACAGTAAGCTTGTTACCATGTCAGAGAAATATATCAGAAGCTCAAGCCTATGAAATGGATCTTGCAGAAGAATCTGGACTTGAACCTAGGGATACTTTTGACTTAATGAGTACATATGCCGGTGGTCCAGAAAATCTTGGTTATACAATGACAGATGTAAAGACTCACTTGATGTGCAAAAGGAAGAGACATATGAAGTTTGGTGAGGTGGGGTGTCTACTTGAATACTTTCAAAAACAAATTAAAGAAAATCCAGCATTCTACCATAAATATCAATTGGACCCTGATCAACACATCACTAATGTTTTTTGGGCCGATGCTCGCATGCTAATAGATTATGCACATTTTGGTGAGGTTGTATCACTTGATACAACATATAGCACAAATCAGAATCATAGACCCCTTGCACTATTTTCTGGCTTCAATCATCATAGAAGTGTGGTCATTTTTGGAGCAGCACTATTATATGATGAGACAATTGAGTCTTTTAAATGGTTGTTAGAAACATTTTTGGATGCTCATATACAAAAAAAGCCTCAAACTGTGTTTACAGACCAAGATCAAGCGATGGCAAGAGCATTGTGACGGCACCGGCGAGAGGAGACGCCGATAAAGCTCTGGTTTGAGAGTCTTAAACCTGACAGCCAGCAAACGGTAAAGTTGACCAAAGGAATTGTTAAAAGCCTTATTAACATGAAAAATGAATGAACGGTTGAGATAAAAACGTAATGAACGGCAGAGATTCTCCATGGTTAATAAAACGGTGCGTTTCGGCCTGATGAGCACCACGGTACTCAGCGGCCGAAACCGAACCCGAGAACAATAATACGTTATTAACATATCAGGACAGTGCAAGAAATGCAATGTAAACCGTAATTTGGGTTTTTAAAAAAGTAAAGCATAAACGCAAACGACAAACCGTCCAAGTGAAACAATTAAACAAAACGAGAGTCAGAGACAAGATGATACGCTCCCACGCTAGTCAAGTAGACGCTGGGTATTCGGTCCAAAAAAAACTAGGCGTTGGATACGAGCGAGTCCAGCTAGGATGAACAATACGGACGATGTCCCCGTGTGGGAGCAAAGCAAGTACCGTGGCATGGCTGGTTGAAACGTGGCACGTTTTGGTTGGTTATTGATTTGTGTTCTTATTCAGAGCACATGCTTCGTTACGGAACCATGGCAGCGCTGCGACAAACCTGCCAGGCGTCCCCCCCCCCTTTTTTCTAAAAGCTCTACTCTTCCAGTCACTGCCCCGTCTTAGACGCTTCGTCTGTTTCTATTTATATATAAAAAATTATAACATATAATTTAAAAAATCAGTTAAATATATTAGTTGAGCTTAAAAATAAAAAATTAAACTATAATATATTTTATTAATTATATTAATTAAATATTTATTAATTATTTCTTATGACTATGAATGATAAAATTATGATGAATAATTTAAAAAGTTTACAATAAATGTTTATTAAAAATTCTGATCTTGTTTGTATAAAAAAAATTTAAAATTAATAATTTTTTTATAAATAAAAACGGAAGGGGTGTGCTTCCTTAACACCAAAATATAAGATGTGGGATAGGCATTGTGCGCGCGCGTTATACCTTCAGTTGATTGATTAGTTAATCATGATATTTGGAATAAATCAAATGTCATGTTTCTTACACTTAATGACACAATTGAAAATATGTAAAAAATTTAAAAACTCAAAATTTTAACTAATTTTTTTAGAAATGCAAGTTAGTTAACAATAACTTACTCTTCCTGATCTTATTTATGAGATAAAAAGCATCAACCTCTACATGAAAGATATGTTATTTGGTTATTATATGCCAACGGCTGTCTTTAAAATTTGAGAAAGGCATCAATAGGAAAGAGTATATTTGCATATCTCGCATTTAGGGGGAGACATTGTTGGGATGCAAGTGTTTGTTAATGCTGAGTGAAATTTCACTTAAATATTTATATATCTTCTCTCAGAGCATAATATATATCCTCAATTGATATCATATTAATATTGTAAAACAATCACATGTTATGAAATTGAAAGTGTTGTGATAAATTAGAAGTTCATTGATGTAAATAGACATATTGTTAGCATAATTTGTTCGATCATTCTAAGATCATGTATATGATGTAAAGAGTTGTAGAGAATATACATTAATATATATTAAAGAATTAGAAAATTCTTTACAAACAGCAAGCAAGCGCACATATTATAATAATATAATTATTATGTGCTACTTATTCTCAAATTTGATCAAGGGTGAAACTAGCCTCAACAATTGAGGAAGCCAAATTTTTTTCATAAAAATAGGGAAAGCATAATCTTTTGTCTTTATAATTTCATTAAGTTTAGTTTTTAGTCCTTATAGTTTTTTTTAATATTTTCAATCTCCATAGTTTCGAAAAGATTGAGTGATCTATATTTGTTGGGTCCCAATAGTTTTTATTTTTCAATAATTTTAGTTTATATAGAAACTGAGAATATTGAAAAAACTATAAAAACTAAAAGTAAAATCTAATAAAACTATAAGGACTAAAGATTACCTCCTCTGTTAAAAAATTTAAGACATTTTTTAAAAAGTTGTAGGGTATTTTAGTCTTTCAAGGTATCATTATTATCTTTTTTTTTAAAGTATCCCTATTAATAATAATTTTATATTTATTATAGGATGTTTAATAAGAATAAATATAAAAAGATAGGGTTAGTTTAAAAGTAAGTAACTATTTTATTAAAGAATAAAATTCGATCAAAACTGCCTTTCATTATTGAACGAAGAGTGTTTGTTTGTTCAAAAAAAAAAGCCTACACACATATTGTTAATTTATTTTTATCATATTATTTATAATTATTTTCTCAAAAATAATTCATAACTTAATAATGTCAGTAAATGATAATTATATACAATGGTGTCTCAAAATACAAAATGTCACCTCATATCTAATAAATTATTTTCAAGAAAAAAAAATATACAGAATACATTTGTGCATGAGTGAGTGTTTATATTTTCTATTATTTTTCATATATTATTATAAATTGATGATAAAAAAAATATAAGTGCTTTTCAAATTTTATAAAATTGTAAACAAATACACAAATATTAAAAGTATGTGTTAAACATAGCTAAGTTAGTTGAGGAATTTTTGTTTGGATACTATATGGATACAATGCACCACATCATTCATATTTCATCTAATAAAATCGTATTAGTTCAATCAAATAAAATCATACATTATTATTTTACTAATTTCATTTTTTAAATAGAGTGAATGTTTAATCCTTTATCTTCAATCCATTTGCAAATTACATTTATAGCCATTTGGCTTGACACGGTTTTGTTGAATAGAGCGTTGATTATGCAATCGTGTTTTTGCGAAAAACACCTCATACTAGTCCCATTAATTTAATGAAAAATAGGACAAAAATTTAATGACAAGGCTTACAAAGAGAATAAAAAATTATTTTTTATCTTGTAAACAAAATAAGAGATAATGTTACAAAAGTATGTATATATTGCACCTAAATATATTAAACTTCATTTGCCTTTTTTTTGAAGGAGGGAGGGGTTATTTTTTGATAAAGCCAAACATCTAAAGGCTCATAAATATATGAGAAGAGGAAGGAATTGGGCTCCCTCACAACACACCTGGTTCTCACTGATCATGAAAATATCACTAGTTATAATTTAAAATAAATCTCCACATTTTGAAAATATATCAAATATATATATATTTATATATATAGATGAGCTTATTTAAATAGCATATGAATCATTAAAGTACTTGACAAATTGGATAGATGTACCTATAGGATGACTGCATGCTTAATTTTTACTCAATTCATTTAAAAAATATAAGTTATTTTTCTAGGAGTTTAATGTTTAAAAATATAAAGCATTTTTAATATTTTAAAGTATAATCAATATATTTTTTAAAAGTATCCTTATTAAATAATTATTTTATATTTATTTTTACAATGAAATGTGCTATTACATTTGGGTAAATATAAAAATATAGTGTTACTTTAAAATAAATAAATACTTTATTAAGATAAGATTAATTAAAAATGTCTTATATTTTTAATGGAGGGAGCACTAATTTAACATTATACTTAGTGCACAATTTAAAACATTATATTTAATGCATTTGAACAATTTTAATTGAATTAGAATTTACTTCTTCTATTAAATGAACCTCACTTTTAATAAAGTAATTATTTATTTTCAAATTAACACAATATTTTCATTTTTACTCCTGCTTAATGAGGTGTTTTACTCTAAAATAAATATGCAATCATTACACTCTAAAATATTAAAAATATCTTATACTCCGTTTGTTTAAAAATATAAAGTATTTTTAAAAGAGTTAAATGTTTAAAAATGTAAGGTATTTTTAGTCTTCCAATGTCTAGTTATTACTTTTTTTAAAAATATTTCTATTAATAATAACTTTATATTTATTGTAGAGTGTTTAATAGAGATAAATATGAAAAGATAAGGTTAGTTGATAAATAAGTAACTACTTTATTGTGGTGAGATTTGGTTAAAAATGCCTTATATTTTTTAATAGAGAAAGTATTTTTTAACAACTAACCTTTTAAAAAATACATTATATTTTTAAACTAAGGAAATATTTTATATCGTGTTAAAATCTATTTTTCTCCGGGTAAACAAAAAATTTAGTTAAGTTATAGTATCAGTCACCATTAAATTAGGACAGATTTCAATTTCAGGCCAAAATAACATTTACCAAGTACTATTCCTGGCCTTTATTATAAGATAGCGTTTAAAAAATACGAATTATACATGTGTTACGGGGCATTTGATGATGAACCTTGATGCGAGACAAACGTGCTTTAAAATATGCAATCATTACATTTTAAAATACTAAAAATATTTTATATTTTGTAACAATTAACCTTTTAAAAAATATATTATATTTTTAAATGAAGAAAATATTTCATATTGTGTTAAAATCTATTTTTCTCTGGGTAAACAAAAAATTTAGTTAAGCTATAGTATTACTCATCATTGAATTAGCATAGATTTCAATTTCAGGCCAAAATAACATTTACCAGGTACTGTTCCTAGCTTTTGTTATAAGATATCGTTTTAAAAAACACGGATCAAACATGTGCTACGGGGATTTGATGGTGTACCTCTTCTAGCCCTTGATGCGAGACAAACGTACTTTTTTAGTCCCATGAGACAAAATTACAGCAATTAATGTACCTTTTTAATTTTATCCCCGGTCTATTTATTATTACTTGAATTTTTAGATAATAATTTAAGATAATTATTAATTGTAGAGAGGGGCAGAGTTGAAAAGTCATATATTTTTAAACAATTTTAAGGTATCAACTACCATATTTCTTTTAGCGTAAAATTGATTAATTAAGTTTTTCAAATATTATTTTGATTTTTAACCAATTAATATTATGTTTTTCAAGATTATTAACCATGACAAAGATTATAATGTAAATTTGAATTTTTTTTATATAAATTCCGGTAAAACCTGAAATTTAATCCATTTTCGGATAAAGTTAATAAATTAATAATCTTTCATTCCCAGCGAAGCGAAT